TCTGCGAGGACAGATCTGCACGTCCATCCTCCCCCAATAGCTAGCAATCCAAAAGAGTCCAGTGGAGCCTGAGTGGTGGGTGTTGCCTTCTGACACACTTCCGGTGATGTCAGGGGGTGTGGCCTATGCAAATAAGTTATGCTAATGAGTTATGCTAATGAGCTCCTGCACCTCTTTTTCTACGAAATGACCCCTGGGTATAAATATTCATTACATTCAATAAGCAATCACATTCAGTACATACAGATTGCTAACTACCAGACAATTTTGCATCAGTTGGACAGCCTTCTTAATAGTTGTATGGATGCTTTTTGCCGGTCCTACAAAAGACACATTGTGCAGCTAACATTCATGGACGGAGTACTCCTGTCATTCTCAAAGTTGACCATAAATAGAACACATTGGTTTGTTAAAAGGTTTTTGCAGTGTATATTTATTTGTTACCAGAACCTCCAGGTGGGGCCTGGAGATTCCTGACAAATGTTCTCCAGATGACAGACGTCCGTTCCCTTAGAGAAAATGGCTGCTTAGGATGGTGGACTCTCTGGCAATGTACCCCACGGATGTCCATCCCCTTCCCAAACCCCACCCTCCCAGTTTGGTGTAGTGGTTAGGAGCGCGGACTCTAATCTGGGAGAACCGGGTTTGATTCCCCACTCCTCCACACGCAGCTGCTGGTGTGACCTTGGGTCGGTCACAAGTTCTCTCGGAGCAGTTCTCTCAAGGGCAGTTCTCGAAAGAGCTCTCTCAGCCCTACCTACCTCACAGGCAGTGTTCCCTCTAAGCTGAGTTAGTGTGAGCTCACCGTTTTTTAAGCCTCCAGCTCACACATTTTTGTCTTTGCTCAGGGAGGATGGCTCCGGAGCAGACTAATTGATGCAGCAGCCAAATCGCTTGCTCACAACTTCAATGCCAGTAGCTCACACAGTAGAATTTTTGCTCACAAGACTCCACAGCTTAGAGGGAGCATTGGTGAGAACTAGTGTTCCCTCTAAGCTGAGTTAGTGTGAGCTCACCGTTTTTTAAGCCTCCGGCTCACACATTTTTGTCTCGGCTCAGGAAGGAGGGCTCCAATGCAAACTGATTCATGCAGGAGCCAAATCGCTCGCTCACAACTTCAATGCCAGTGGCTCACAGAGTAGAATTCTGGCTCGCAAGACTCCACAGCTTAGAGGGAGCACGGCTCACAGGATGTCTGTTGTGGGGAGGGGAAGGGAAAGGAGATAGTAAGCCCCTCTGAGACTCCAAATGAAAGGGTATAAATCCATTCTCTTCTTCTTCTTCTCCCCAGGACGTACTCCCAAATCTCCAGGAATCTCCCAACTTGTAGCTGGCAATTCTAGGGTCTGCTTGAGGGTGACAGGGCTGACCAAGTGCTACAGGGCACAGAGATGGAGCTGCATGGGGCAGGGCCCAAGTTCGGATTCCTGCAACCCTGTGGGCACCCAGGGGCCAAGAGCGAGGGCACATGGGACAGGATGACAAGAGGCGGGTGGCACCAGACAGACAAAAGAGATGGGTGTGTGTGTGAAAAGACCACATAGGGTCTTCAAGGCAAGAGATGGACATGGTTGGACTCTGCCTGCCTCTGCGCAGTGACCCTGGCCTTCCTTGGCCGTCTCCCATCACAATACCCATCCTCAGGAGATTGGATGCTGTGTCTCTGCATGAGTCAGTGCTCTGGATTCAGTTCCCACTTCTGGAGAGCTGTGCGTCAGGCACGACTGGCTTGTTCAATCCTTCCCGCAGGAGAGCGGCAACAAAACTGTGTGCTCAAAAGGGAGGCTCCCTGTTGGACCTCTGTCTGAGTCATTTGTACTTTTATTCTGTGCCCAGTGGTCTCATTTTGGAACAACGTTTTCCTGGTCCCTATTGATTTTATATCTTGTACCTGCATGATTGTATTGCATCTGTATATTAGCCAATATGTTCCTCATTATATCTGACCTCTGAGGAAGGCCCTATGCAGGCTGAAACGCGTCAGGTCAAATCTATCAGCCCTTGTGTGTTATAATTTGTTATTTGTACATGAGGTGTAATTTGGGCCCTTATATATAAATTTTAAATCTCTGTTTAATAAATACATGTATCTTTTTATATATTTTATATGTTAAGCTTTTATTGTTGGCCCTCTTTTGCATTATACTGTATCAGACCATTGGTCTGTATTGTCACGACTGGCAGCCGCTCTCCAGGGTCTCAGAGCAGAGGTCTTTCCCATCGTCTATTGCCTGGCCCTTTTAACTGGAGTTGCCGGGGATTGAACCAGGGACCTCCTGCATGCCAAGCAGAGTTTCTACCAGTAAGCCACACCCCCTCTCCACAGATCTCCAGGGTCTCAGGCTGAGGTCTTTTACATCACCTCCTACCTGATCTTTTTAACTGGAGATGCTGGGGATTGAACCTGGGACCTCCTGCATGCCAGGCAGAGGCTCTTCCACTGAGCTACAGCCCCTCTCCATGGCTCTCCAGGAGAGGTCTTTCACATCACCAATCACCTGGTTATTTTAGCTGGAGATACTGGGGATTCCTTTTCACATCACCTACTGCCTGTTCCTTTTAACTGGAGACGCCAGGGATTGAACCTGGGACCTTATGCATGCCAGGCAGAGGAGCCACTGAGCCACATCCCCTCTTTACAGCTCTCCTGGGTCTCAGGCAGAGGTCTTTCCCATCACCCCCTGCCTGTTCCTTTTAACTGGAGATGCCGGAATTGAACCTGGGACCCTCTGCATGCCAAACAGAGGCTCTGCCACTGAGCCACAGGCCCTTCTTTACAGCTCTCCAGGGTCTCAGGCGGAGAGGTCTTTCCCATCACCTCCTGCCCGTTCCTTTTAACTGGAGATGCCAGGGATTGAACCTGGGACCCTCTGCATGCCAAGCAGAGGCTCTGCCACTGAGCCACAGGCCGTTCTTTACAGCTCTCCAGGGTCTCAGGCGGAGAGGTCTTTCCCATCACCTCCTGCCTGGTCCTTTTTAACTGGAGATGCCGGGGATTGAACCTGGGACCTCCTGCATGCCAGGTAGAGGCTCTACCACTGAGCCACAGCCCTTCTTTACAGCTCTCCAGGGTCTCAGGCTGAGGCCTTTCACATTACCTCCTGCCTGGTCCTTTTAACTGGAGACGCTGGGGATTGAACCTGGGACCTTCTGCATGCCAGGCAGAGGCTCTACCACTGAGCCACAGCCCCTCTTTGCAGCTCTCCAGGGTCTCAGGCAGAGAAAGGTCTTTCCCATCACCTCCTGTCTGGTCCTTTTTAACTGGAGATGCTGCTGGGGATTGAACCTGGGACCTTATGCATGCCAGGCAGAGGCTCTGAGCCACTGAGCCACGGCCTCTCTCCAAAAGTTCAGTGGATGCTCGCCCAGAAGGAAAGACCCAGCTGCCTGTACCCCAAAACAAAACACTCACCAGGTCGAAGGGCGGACTTTCTTTTTGATTCCCAAGTAGACCTTCAGATTCTTCACCGGCCACTCCTTCTCTGGCTTGTGGCTCTGGAGAGAGAGAGAACGGGAGAACAGGAGGATGAAAGAGACATTTCCAAAGAAAACAGGGGCCGTTACTAGGGTTGCCGATCCCCCAGGTGGTGCCAGGAGAAATGGGCTGTTTTTGGAGCAGGAACTCCTTTGCATATTGGCGACACACCCCTCATGTAGCAAATCCTCCAGGAGCTTACAGAGCTCTCCTTACAGGGGCTACTGTAAGCTCTTGGAGGATTGGCTATATGAGGGGTGTGTCGCGGCGAGGTCTCCAAGTGACCAAGATCACTCCTCCTGGATAAAATGGCGGCTTAGGAGGGCGGACTCTATGGCTTTATCCCATGCTGAGATACATCCCCCTCCGAAGCTCCGCCCTCCCCAGCCTCCACTCCCGAAATCTCCAGAAATCCCCCACCCAGGAGCTGGCAACCTTAGCCACCGCGAAGCAAGTCTGGAGTGGCCCAAACGGTGGCGCCCCTCGGCCCACTGGAACACCTCCTGGCAGAAGGCACGCCAGCAATGCTCCTTTCTAAGCTGTGGGGTCTCGTGAGCAAACATTCTACTTGGTGAGCTACTGGCATTAGAGTTGTGAGCGAGCGATTTATGGCTGCGGCATGAATTAGTTTGCTCCGGAGCCCTCCTTCCTGAGCTGAGACAAAAAGTGTGTGAGCCGGAGGCTAAAAAACTAAGCGCTAGCTCACACTGACTCAGCTTAGAGGGAACACTGGTTCTCACCAATACTCCCTCTAAGCTGTGGAGTCTTGTGAGCAAACATTCTACTTGGTGAGCTCCTGGCATTAAAGTTGTGAGCGAGCGATTTGGCTGCTGCACAAATTAGTTTGCTCTGGAGCCCCATCCTTCTTGAGCTGAGACAAAAAGTGTGTGAGCCAGAGGCTAAAAACCTGTGTGCTAGCTCACACTCACTCAGCTTAGAGGGAACACTGGTCACCACCAGCAATGCTCCCCCTAAGCGTGGAGTCTTGTGAGCAAACATTCTACTTTGTGAGCCACTGGCATTAAAGTTGTGAGCGAGCGATTTGGCTGTTTCATAAATTAGTTTGCTCTGGAGCCATCCTTCCTGAGCTGAGACAAAAATGTGTGAGCCGGAAGCTAAAAAAACTGGGAGCTGGCTCACTCTAACTCAGCTTAGAGGGAACTCCACTAGCCGAGAGACCCCAGACAAAGCCCACTGGAAGAACAACGACCCTCTGGGGGGGAGACTTGGGGGGGGGGAGACCAAGGCAGAAGACAAAAATCGGTGAGCCAGAGGCTAAAAAAACTGTGAGCTAGCTCACAGTAACTCAGCTTAGAGGGAACACCGCTACCTGAGAGACCCCAGACAAAGCCCGCTGGAAGAACAACCACCCAGCAGGGAGGAGATTTTTTTTTGGGG